CCCCCTTCCATGATTAATTTGTTTTTCTCTTTAATCTTTTTAACCTCGTTTGACCATTCAGATCCAACAAAAAAAAGGTCACTTTGTTGATAGCTACTTTTGCGGTAAATGATAGTATTAATTAAAGATGATGGTTGTATTGCTTCAAGATGACTTCAGGATATTGCTTCGATGACAAGGTCATTATGGCGAAAGGTTATTCGTTATCTTATCATCAATGTCAGTTTATAGATAACACCTGCCATCGTTAACATGCATAAGTCTGCATTTTATATATTTCTTACTACAGTGCTTGCGCTAAAATTGATTTCAATAAATATGAATCCGGATTTGCCCTTCGCACTAGCGTTCATCGCATACACCCGTCTCACAGCTCGTTGCAGCAATACATTGAAAACATCTCCCATAAAGGTGTTTCTAATGTGCAGCTTCAATTGCTGTAGAATTGGTGTAAGGAATGAACTGTGAAGAGCAAATCTGGATCACAATCATATAATTAGTATTTATAAATTTACAAGTAACAATAAAGGAGGCGTAATTTGTGATTTATAAGTCAACCTGCAAGTAAATGGGGGGTTGTGTTTGTAAACGACTAAACGCCCCATAACCATAAACTAAGGAGGTCCAGACAAATAAAAGTGGACTGGTGTGTGTCATCTAAAAAGGAGATCAATTCCCACACGTTAATCGTTAATATGAATTTCTTTTGCATGATGAACAAAGTCTATTATTGCTTATTACACATGTGTGTACGAATGTGTGGGATGTTTCATCAATACGCTAATGACTAATGAGTAATGGCCATTGCGATTTGCAGGTATTAGGATACGGTTGGGCTGGACTTCTAAGGAAGTATGTGGTTGAACCAGCACATATGTGGTGGCCCAGTACTCTCGTTCAGGTCTCCCTGTTCCGGTATGTACATACATGCACTTTCTCAATCTTTTTGTAGTTGATTACTTAACCAAACTCCAGACTTTAAATCATTAAATGTGATTATAGAAATAGGGTTGTGGCTGCCAAGGGGTCAGACAGACCCAACTGAAGCGTATTAAATTGACCCAATTATATAATTGGGGGTGTTCCCGTCTGGATCTGCATTGTATGTCCCAATCATAGTTGACTTGGTTGTTCTCAATCGATAAGATCTAGACGCCAATTGCATATATAAATTATATAGATGTGCATATCAGCATATTGCGAATATAACCCCAGTATGATACCTATCTTTTTCAGGGTATACTTTAATATTATCGTATTATCATGCCCAAATATGTTAACCCAATAAATGAGTGGTTTTACTGTCAAATTAAGTAAAACTGTCAATATATGATCTAATCAGGTCAGACCTGACAGTTTCAATTATACGATCAGCTCTAAATCATTATTACAGGGTTTAATTTGTAACTGTTTTGTTTGCGACTAGTTTACCATGACCTAAAGCACCAGTAATCGTTGATAGCTCAATGTTTTAATAATAGTAAAGAGAGCGGATGGAATTTATCGGCAATTGTTTTCTAAATTGAAGTTGCAATAATGTGAAGTTGTATGAATTCGAAACTGGAAATTGAAAGAATATGGAGGAATGAGTCATGCCACTTGGTCACTCTCCTTAAAATTGTATTTGTCCCTTATAGTGCAGTCAGGTGATCGCAAATTGGTCGCCAAGATAAAACAACCCACAAGTCACCGGTAGGCATGCACTTGCTTACCAAACCTCCGTGAACCACTGAAAATTGATGCTCAGATTTCTCAAAAACAAAAAAAAAAAAACAAAAATGTCAGAAAAATGGTGTGTGTACTAGGTCGGCCATCACCCTTTTATAGATTGGTCTCAGACCCGAATTGACACAAATGTGTCCTTTCAGACATGAGCCTCTTCAGAACAGTGCACATGTTCGAAGAGGCACAAGGAGGAGGAAGAGACACGAAAAAAGAAAACAATTTATTTTAAAATTAAATTTGAATTTGAAGAGACGTTTTAAAATTGAAAAGGTGTAATTTGGATACAACAAAATGATTTAATGCATCACCCTCACCCACACCCGCACCCGTGCCCCGGTTTGGCTCAGCACACGCGTGTGAAAAACACCCCCAAGCCCCCCTCATATGAATAGAATATCTATAGTCCTCTCCTCTTATGGGTCTATACCCTTAGAGAGAGCAAAACTATAAATATACTCCACTAACACTCCTTTCCCAAACAATGTGGGACAATGAATCATTCAAGGGAAGAAATGACAAAAAACAAGAGAGGGAGAAGAGAGATTCTTATAAATTTGAATCTCCCTCCAACACTCAACCATGACAAGATTCTCTACGATAAAAGTAAAAACTTGGGCACACACAAACCAGGAAATCCCACCATGCATTAGGAATATTTCCCTATAAATTTAATATAAATGGACAGTAGATATTTCTAATGTGATGTTGAACTTTTGTTTATAAGAAATCCAGCCTCACAATAGCCGGTAGGGTAAGGGATTGATGTATCGTTTTTTTTCCTGTTTTGAAAAATTAATTAAAAGTTTTCTGAAACAATCAAAGATAAATCTACGATGTCAGAAACGTACGCTATCTTATGAGCTTTGAACAAAAAAAAAACAGTAAGAACTGTAAGGTTCAGTTTTGGAAGGAGTACAAAAACAAATTTATAAAATGCAAAATCTTGTATTTTGTATTATTTTGTATGTATTTATATAGTACATATTTATATTTATACTTCTTCCAAACTGAGCCTAAAGGGCAAATCTATGAACGTAGGAAATAAGCATTTTCTACAAATGAGTACTTTTAGTATAAAAAAAAAAACAGAAAAATTAGGCACATGATTCATTTTCCTGTTGAATATCCTTTTTCAAAGAATTTATTTGCCCCAAAGAAACTTAATCTAAGCATTGACCTAAAAATATCCACGTCAAAGTCCACCTTTAGGGCACTACCCATTCATACCTACATGTTTTATATGATGAAAAAGCACCCCATGTTTTAGCTTTTGCCAGTAGTCACAATCAGCGGTGGTTTATTTTTCTATTCACGAGGGATATGAGTAGGGCTGTTAATGGAATTTGAAAGTTTGATACTTGATTTGGCTCTGAATCAAAGTTTGATACTTGAAAGTTTGATACTTTATTTCACCAAAAAAAAAAAGAAGTTTGGCTCTGAATCTAGTTATGATGATAGAATTTATATCTAATTAATAACAGGATTGGATGCAGATTTTTTTCTAAATTTTTCAAAATTTTGGGCATTTTAAACAGAATAAGATGGTTGTGAATTAAATCTGAATCTAACATACTGCAGATTTAGAGATGTCATAATTGGATCCAATCAGTATACAGACTTAGATATGAGCATTAGGAGTGTTCACAGTTTGGTTAACTGTCGATTCATTTTGTTTGTTTTTAAGTTTTTATATTTATAATATGTATTATAAATAAATATATAATAAAAATACTAGGAATACATATAAAATATTATATTATAAATAATAAATAATATTTTATATATTATAAATATATATAATGCATATGAAAAATATACAATATACATATATATATATATATATATATATATATAGACCCACACTGGTCAGTTCAATTAACTGCCTATTTTTTTTTATATTGGTTAAATGAAATCGAACTAGTACCTCTAATTTTTCAAAAATATTGAATCAAAATCGAATCGACTGATTTGATTAATCAGAATTTTCTGTTCAATCTTTGTCGATTTGATTTGGTTTTCAGTTTTTTATGATTAACCCCTAAAGGGCATATGGTTAAGTTATTCGTAAAAAAGAAATTAAATGTGCCCAAATAACTTTCCATAGAAATTAAATCTAGTATACATGTAAGATGCAATTATATCCTTCCACAACCTTTGGACAACCAAGTGACCAACCATGGGGCCAACCCATAATCCCACACAGTATACTGTTATAGAGCCATGCTGAGAACATTAAAATTGGATCGAACAAAATAAAAGGTAAAAGAGAAACCATTTCGTTGGAACTAAGACTCCTTTTGGTATGTGGATGGGAAGGAAAAAATGGGATATTTTGGAACTTCCCTTGCTATGTTTGATTTGTGGGATGCTATGAGATGGGATGGGAAAAAGATGGGATCATAGGTTCCAATTTTGGGTTGTGGAATTCTACCATTTTGATGGGAAACAATTGGGAATTGAGGGGGAAATCTGTTTAATGAAAAAAAAAAAAAACACCTCCCTTATAGTATTTCTAAGAGTTAATATTAGACCTATGACCCATGAATAAATTATTAATTATGTAATAATATTAATAAAATAATTTAATTAAAATGATTAATAGCTACATTGAAACAAATGATTAAAATAATTTGATAATTAATTAACTATTTATTAATACTAATTAATAATTCATAATAAAATACTAAATCATAAAAATAACATTAATTAATTAATAATTAACAATTAGTTAATTAAATAATTATTTGCTAGTTAATAATTAATTAATAGTAACATATAAAATAGCAAAAGTATTACTAATTACCTAATTAAATAATTAATTAATGATTGTTATTAGTATCGATTTTCAACTATTTTCCCTTTTGCATGTTGCAACCAAACAATGAAACATGAAGAGTTTCCACCATGTATATAATTTATTGGAGCCCTAAATTTAGGATTTAGGATTGAATAACGGTTTACGGGTATCGGATTTAGGTGAAACCAATCTGATTACAAGCCTATTGAGTAGGGTGGTCACAAGCCGAGCTCTTGAATAGTTACATACATACACACATACATATAATAATAATAATAATAATAATAATAATAATAATAATAATAATAATAATAATAATAATAATAAAAATAAAAATATTGTATATATAATATTTTTATCTTTATATATAATAATAACTAATTATTATAATTATTAAATTTTTAAATATCAAATAAAAAACATTTTTATATAATTTTTTAAGTTTTATAAAACATTTTTCTCAAGTCAAGCTCGAGCTCAAGGTTCTAGCTCAAACTTGAGCCTCATACTACCTTGACGAGCCGAGCTCGAATAGCTAGTTATTCGGCTTAGCTTGGCTCGAATCCACCCCTACTATTGAGTATTATATTTTAGGGATGTGGCATGGTTACCTGTAAGTGTAGGAGTTTTAATCATTCCATGACCCTTTCGGCAATTATGGAGACACCCACAAATAACGCTAGCCCAACAAATTTAAAAATACACCCAAGGTTTAAAAAATCATTACGGCTGATACGTATCATATCGGCCCGATATGCCCTTACAGGGGTTGTATTGGGTCAGAGCCTAGTTCAGAGGGTAGCCAGGACTTAAATCGGCCCCTCTGAACCAAAATTGGAAAAAAAAAAAAAACTGGAAGTTAAAAAAAAAGCCGATACTGACCGATACGCCCATACTTTGAACCTTGTACACACCTTATTTTATTTTATCTTTTTGACAAACACACACCTTATAGACTATACGGTCTATACCACAGTAATAACTCTCTTGTGTTCATACTAAGTCCAGAAAACGGTTGCCAAGGAAATCAAATCGAATCAAATGTTACGAGCATGTCACCCTCCAAATGAGAATAATAGGTCTAAAGATGTTACTACTTCAAAAGAATCGAGAGCAAAATAGATCTTGAATTTGAGCTTTGAATCGACCGATGGTTGTTAATCTAGAGGCCTATTTTCGTGTTCAAAGTCCAAATGTCCAACCCATCAGTCAAAATATCGTGACCCACTTCTTTTTATTTTTACCAACCCTGGGAAGTGGGAAGAAAATACCATTACCGGTAAATTTTTTCATGCTGATTTATCTTTAAAGTGTTTTCAGAAATGTATTTATCTTGTTTTCATAATGATTATTTTATCCATAAAAATCTATTATTAAGTATATGCTTTGGTTCTGTTTATTTTATTTGTTTGACATCGGTTTATGACAATTAGACATCACTAGGCTCCACATCAGAATAACAGTGAAAAACATTTAACCATTTGTGAAAGCTTTGAAAAATAATTTTCCCAAACAATAGGTGTGCATAAAAACTGAAAGTCCACTTTTATCATTCTCAATGCATACATAAAAACAAGAGAGTAGAACTGCTGAAATGATGCCTATATGGCAGCATTTATTGAATAAACGCAGACAGAACCAAACATCCTGTAAAAAATGCATTTTTGTTCCACCAAAATATTAGACAACTATTTCTTAAAGAAAGTTATTTATTTACCTTGGAGAAAAATACTTTCCCATTACCCAAGTAAATATGAAAAAAGAAGACGTGATTCCCCCTCATGTGTTTTCGCCTTTTTGTGGTGAAAAGTTTCATTTTCCCTGTCAGTTTCATAGTTTAAACTTTAAACTACTTAAATCTGGAAAATATCACGCCCATTTTACTGAGACAGATACAACCTAAATGCATAAGCCAGATAGATAGATCCTGAACACAACGATCTTTCTCATTCGGTCATGTGTGTAAGTAATGCAGTCAATCCGCACTGTAAGACAAACCTCTGGGTTGACCATGTGTTTCGGTGCCCTTTTATCGGTGTTACTGTCATTGTACTAGTTGAGTTAAAATCTTTTTCTTGATTTTAATGTACCCTGATATTAGAGAGACTGTGAGAGCAACTGAATATTAAGCCAAGTATTTTACCACTGCAGGGCCTTGCATGAGAAGGATGAAGAACGCATGTCAAGGGGGAAGTTCTTCTTGATTGCACTAATTTGTAGCTTTTCCTGGTACGCAATCCCAGGCTACCTCTTCCCAACTTTGACGAGCATCTCATGGGTCTGTTGGGCATTTTCCAAGTCAGTCACAGCCCAGCAGCTCGGTTCAGGGATGAAGGGTCTGGGATTAGGGGCGTTAACACTCGATTGGTCTGCCGTAGCTTCGTTCCTGTTCAGCCCCCTCATTTCCCCTTTCTTTGCAATTGCCAACGTCTTTGTTGGATATGTAATGGTCATGTACGTGGCAATCCCCATAGCGTATTGGGGGTTGGACTTGTACAAAGCCAAGACATTTCCCATCTTCTCCTCCCACTTGTTCACAGTCCAGGGTGGGAAGTACAATATAACCGCCATTGTAAACGATAAATTCGAGTTGGATATCCCAAATTATGAGGAGCAAGGACGAATCTATCTAAGCACATTCTTCGCTTTGACATACGGCTTTGGTTTTGCCACCATTGCATCTACACTCACTCATGTAGGATTCTTCTATGGAAGGTAATGTCTTCTTATTCTTTTATTTGTTGTGTTCTCTATGCATCCAAATAAGCCCTTCAGATGTTGAACTAGATTGAACAAACAGGGAGATCTATGAACGATTTCGTGCCTCATATAAGGGCAAGGTGGACATTCACACAAGATTGATGAGCAAGTACAAGAACATACCTGAATGGTGGTTCCATCTTCTACTCGTGGTGACAGTGGCAGTATCCTTTGTACTCTGTATCTTCTTGAAAGATCAAGTTCAGATGCCATGGTGGGGACTCCTTTTTGCTGCTGCACTTGCCTTCATTTTCACCCTTCCTATAAGTGTTATCACTGCAACAACAAATCAGGTAATCAAATTAAACTCACCCCTCCCCTTCCTTTCTATATTTCTCTGCAGTAGAAAATTTCTGATTTACTTTTTTAGATAATCTAAATATATTGTAAGATACCAGCTAAGAATTATAAACAAATTAGCTAGAGCCCAGTATTCCCTCTTCTAGTAATAAAGTTGAAGGCAAACATCTGTTGCAGTCAAATAGAAATTTTTAGCATTTCACCATCTTTCCTATTATGTACTGGAAACAAAGGTATAATTTTTTTTTTCTCATACTCAGTATTAAGCTTTTTTAGTAAGATACCCAGTATTAAGTTAATGTGGATGTCATTTGTAGTGGTTTTGCTTATCATGCTAGAACAAACTTGGATTAAAACCAAGCCAAATAAGAAAGGTTGAAGATGAGAAGAAACTTCATTCTCACTCATGGAATATTTCTGCTGTACAAATCCTTATATACAAAAAACTGTTGTAACTAACCTGCCAACTCATGCAACAGTTCATGCAGGGAATAATTCTAGAATATGGACAACTCATTAGCTAAAAACTAACTATGAGCTATGCTAGGCTAAGATAAGGTACATCATATACAATATACATATCATAACATCCCCCCCTCAAGTTGGTACTTGGTGAAAATCAACCATGCCCAACTTGGATAGCAAATAAGAAAATTGCGGACTGGAGAGGCCTTTAGTAAAGATGTCAGCCACCTGGTGCTTCGTTGAAACATGTTGAAGATTGATAAAACCCTTCTTGAAGTTATCTCGGACTAAGTGACAGTCGATATCGAGATGTTCGGTGCGTTCGTGGAAGACAGGGTTTGCTGCAATATGCATGGCAGCTTGGTTATCACACCAGAGAGTGAGTGGCAGCTGAAGAGAAATACGAAAATCAGCAAGAATGTATGAAATCCAAAGCAATTCGCAAACAGTGGAAGCCAAGCTGTGATACTCTGCCTCTGCTGATGTCTAGCCTACTGAGGCTTCTGCTCTGTGGACAAGAAGCCCAGTCTGAATCTGAATATGCTTCCACAACAAGAGAGTTATTTGCTGGATAAAAAAGACTTGTTGATGGACATCCCTTTAAGTATCGAAGAAGATGAATGGCAACATCCCAGTGAGGTTGACATGGAGAATTAACGTGTTGATTGAGTTGCTATACAACAAAGGTGATGTCTGGCCTACTGAGGCTTAAATAAAGTAGTCGACCAACTAGTCTTCAATACTTGTCAGGTTCAGCAAGTGGTGTCCCTTTATCAGCAAATAATTTTTGGCCTTTAGGAAATGGAGTGGAAGTTGGCTTTGCCCCAAGTAATCCTGCATCAGTTATGATATCCAAAATATATTTTCGTTGACAGATGTAAGTACTAGTATTTCCTCTTGCAATTTCAAGTCCAAGGAAATACTTGGCATGTCCCAAGTCCTTGATGGTAAAAGTAGCATCTAGGAAACTTTTGACATCAAGAATTTTATCTTCACATGTTCCAGTAATAAGGACATCGTCCACATAAACAATGAGTGCCAGGAAATATGCACTGTTGGCTCTTAGATGCTAGACATATTAGCTAAAAAGGATAAATATGCACTGTTGAAACAAGAAGATTTAATAAAAGGAAAAGTTGGAGGTGAATATTGGGCATGGTCGTGTGATATCTGAGACCTTTGAAACTGATCAAAAATTCTGGCAGTAGGCAATGTGCTAGCAGTAGCCATATTTGTTACAAAGTCATTGAGCCAAATTGGTTTCTGTTTAAGCCTAGTGCTATGCCTAGGAACCAAGGTTGATTGGGTAGGGCTTTGATCAGGTGCAATAGGAGAAGGTGGAATTGGCTCAATATCATTTTGTTTTGAAATTTCAGGAGTGAGATCATTTAGTTGAATTTCTGGTTCTGTGGGTTGATCAAGCTGAGGAGTATTAAGTATATCATCTGTTTCTGTCACAATTGGAAGGGGTAATGCATCGGTGTGTTCTAAAGACTTGCTAAAAGGGAATATAGATTCATCAAAGACAATGTCCCTAGTAACATAGGCTTTATGTAATTCAACATCATATGCTTGAAAAGCCTTTTGACCTTGACTGTAGCTAATAAAAATACATTTGAAACTCCTTTTCAAACTTATCCTTATGAGGAGAAGTATTTGCTACATAACACAAACATCCAAACACTCTTGAGTGTTTGTAATCCAGTTTCTTGTTATGTAAAATCTCAAAAGGTGTTTTCCATCCTAAAATAGAACTAGGAAGTCTATTTATGATGTGTGTAGCCATTAAAATTGAATGGCCCCAAAATTTCTTGGGCAAATTTGATAGAAAAATCAAAGAGCGTGCCACTTGAAGTAAATGTTTGTGCTTTCTTTCTACTATCCCATTCTGTTGGGGTGTATATGCACAACTCTTTTGATGCAAAATCCCATTATCAAGTAAAACCTTTTGAAATTCTTTGTTGACAAATTTTGTGCCATTGTCTGTCCTTACAGACTTTATTCTTTTCTCAAATTAAGTGGTAACCATAGTATGAAAATTAATAAAAACAGCGAGTGTGTGCATTTTATTTGACAATAAATAGGTCCATGTTGCCCTGCTGAAATCATCTACAATTGTTAGCACATAGCGTGCACCAGATAAGGAAGGTTGTCTGTAAGGTCCCCATAAATCCAAGTGTATTAACTCAAAAGGTGTTGATGTGTGAATACTGCTAAGATTAAAAGGAAGTCTATATTATTTTGATTTGTAGCAAATATCACACACAGGTAAAGGATGATTCATGGTTTTCTTACACTGATCTAGATGTTTTAAAGCAACAACTGATGCATGCCCAAGCCTTTTGTGCCAGAGAGATAAAGGTAAACAAGATGATGTATTAGCAAATAAAGAACCAAAATTGTCAAATACATCATGTTTAGGAATCTTAGTTTCAGTCTGCAAAACAGAAATTGCCTTTGGTTTACAATGATCTTCAAAATGATCAAAACAAAACTTGTCTAGAATATATAAGTTTCCTACTAGCTTGCCTACAACCAAGATCTTCTCAGTCCATTGGTCCTACAATATACACTGGTTAGGCTTAAAAATGAATTTGATATTTGCTGATTTAGCAAGCTTGTTAACAGAAAGCAAGTTGAACTTGAAGGTTGGAATATGTAAAACTTTTGTTAAGTTCAATCTGGAATTCAAAGGCACATTTCCAATATGTTTAACAAATTGAATGGTTCCATCTGGTAAGTAAACAAGCATGATTTGTTTTACTGGTTTGGGGTTTTCAATCAATTTGATATCAGTGCACATGTGGTTTGAAGCACCTGTGTCTATAATCCAGGTTCCAGATTTCAATAGTAAGTTAGCATTAAAGCAGAAGCCAAGGCAAATTCATAAGAAAAAGTGTTACCTGCAAAATCATTGAGATGAGCAAAATTGACATGTACTCCACTTTCTGCTGTCATTTTGCCTTTCAGTAATTTCATTAGTTCTTGTTGTACCAGATTAGCAATAGCACTCTGTTTGTCTGAATTTTTGTCCTCACTGTCATCCTCAATATCCAGTGGAGTATCCACCATGTTAGCCACATTTCTACCTGACCCTTTCCCTCCTTTCAAATCCTTATGCCAATCCGGGTAGCCATGTAATTTAAAACAAGTTTCCTTAACATGACCATTCATGTTATAGTGACTGCAATGCTTATTGGCCTTGTCTACTCTTTTACTGTTCCCTCTTCCACTGCCCTCTTCTTTCTTAACAGATTCCATCCCTTCTTTCTTGTAGAATTTAGTTTTAGCCAACAAAGCATTTGATTCAATATTGTCATTGTAAGAACCATGAACTTCCCTTTGTTTTTCAACACGTAAGACCATTGAATAAGCTTTGTTAATAGAAGGAAGTGGATCCATAACTAAAATCTGATTTCTGATATTATCATAGGTATCGTTTAAACCCATTAAGAATTGCATCAGTTTATTAAAACCATTAATTTCAGAAACAGATCTTGCAGCTCCACAGGTGCATATAGGAGAGGGCATAAGGCATGCTAATTCATCCCACAGCTTATGTAACTTAGTATAATATTTCACAATAGACATAGTACCTTGAGAGATTGTGCTGATTTCCCTTTGAATCTGATAGAGTAATGACCCATTTGATTCTCCAAATCTCTCTTTGATTACTTCCCAGAGTTCCTTTGCTGTTGTGGTGTATAAGAAGGCTTCAACAATTTCTTTAGAGATGGATTTAAGTATCCATGAAGTCACCATGCAATTCACTCTGTTCCACTGAGCTAATTCTGGTGCTCCTTCAAGTTTAACACATTCCCCTGTTACAAAACCCAGTTTAAGCTTGCATCCAAAGCTATCTTCATCGACCTGCTCCATGCAAGATAATTATTTCCATTTAACAAAGCAGTTACCAGGACCATTCCTGGATGATCCGAACTCTACAACACAAGTGGATCTCCATTGTTGCCATATAAGAGCTCCCTTGTAGCTCCAGCAGTAGTATTTGCAACCCGAGCCACAGGAGTAAGAGTAATTTCTTGCTCCTCTTCCATCGTTCGTTACCACTAGTAAGTAAAAAAAACTTGAAAGAAATCAATATCAGATCGAGAGCTCTGATGCCATGAACAAACTTGGATTAAAACCAAGCCAAATAAGAAAGGTTGAAGATGAGAAGAAACTTCATTCTCACTCATGGAATATTTCTGCTGTACAAATCCTTATATACAGAAAACTGTTGTAACTAACCTGTCAGCTCATGCAGGGAATAATTCTAGAATATGGACAGCCCATTAGCTAAAAACTAACTCTCTAACTATGAGCTATGCTAGGCTAAGATAAGGTACATCATATAAATATACACATCATAACAGCTATACAAGTGGATAACACTTTTACATACAAACTTTTCAATATCCTTGAATTTTCATAGTATGTTTTACGCTTCTATCAACAGCTGAGATTTTTTAAGTCAAATAAGCCTTATCCCAACTGTATGGAGTCTACAAAAATCCTGTTTTCCCGTTCAATTTTATCAACTGCCATAATTCTTTTTGTTACTCTTTTACTATACTGATTTTCTCCTTTTTTTTTATTTTGTTACCCTCATGAAGTGAAATGGAATTCTTTAATACAGTCATGAAGACAGAAATTTGCAACTCAATTTTTTTTTCTGAATTAATTTTACACCATACAAGACGTGAAAGAAAAGATAATGAAAATCTTTATAGTAATTGGGATGTTTCAAGTTGGATGCAGACCTACTATGTAGGGCAAATATAGAAGTAAAAATAGTCTATACAACATGACCAAAAAAATTTGTCTATGTGTGTAAAGATACTATTATGTTCATTAATGTCTTAGCTTTGGAATTGAAATCCGTCATTAAACTCAACCAGGTGATTAATGTATAAATGATTGATTAGTAATTAGGATAAGCTCTACTTTGTCAAATTAAGTAAGAATATCGGTATTGAAGTCTTGACATGGAAAAACAATTTACGACATGAAAAAATAAGAACAGTCCAGCTTTTGGGTACTGAAGAATCTCTATGGTTCATATATTTAGAACTCTGCATGAAAACACTACTTACAATTTTAAGCACCCCACAATTTATTCAAAATGTAATCTTTTTTATATTTGCTTGTCAATACCTTCCTACAATGGTAAGTGGAATCACTGATGTACTTGAGTTTTCTTTGCAGACACCAGGGTTAAACATCATCACAGAGTATGTCATGGGAATTATATATCCAGGAAGACCAATTGCCAATGTCTGCTTCAAAACCTATGGATATATGAGCATGGCTCAAGCTGTTTCCTTCCTCAGTGATTTCAAGCTGGGTCATTACATGAAAATCCCACCAAGGTCAATGTTCATAGTTCAGGTACCTTTTCTCCTTTTTAGCCTAATTATAATAGAATCTGAGAATGTTAAAGCTCTAGGATGCTCCACACCTTGTTCTAAAATGAACAACATGCTCTTGTAACACAATATTATCCTCTGAGTACTTATTTAAAATTTTATACTTCAATACATTCACCAATTTAAATTAGAAAATATATACTAATATCTGGAACACCTTCCCTGAAAGTAAATTGAGTACATAATTTACAGTTGTCCTGTATGGCTAGCATTCAGGGTCAGGGTGGGCAAGAATTCTAGCTCAGTGGCCTGTCCTGAACCTGACTTGGTCCAGCTCGGTTGCTAGTCCTAAGGGTGCAAGTGGAGTACCCAATTCGCATAAGCAGTTGCAAGCTTGCTTACACACCTTCTAAATATGCGGTGCCCAAGCAGTTGCAAACTACCCAATTGATAATGTTCAACAGATTCTTTCAACCCACTAATGTCCAGACGTCAATATGCACCCTACTTCTTTTGTATTTTTCTCAAGAACAGGAACTTGTTTTATCTGCTTGGCAAAGATTAATATCATATATTTTTCATCTTACAGTTTTATTGGTATATATTAGTATATTTTCTAATGTTGTTGCCTTTCACTGGATCCTCCTATTCAGCTTATTGGGACCATCATAGCTGGAACTATCAACCTTGGTGTGGCTTGGTGGCTTCTGGACTCGATTGAGAACATATGCCAAGACGACCTCCTTCCTCCAAACAGTCCTTGGACATGCCCAGGTGATCGTGTCTTCTTTGATGCATCTGTCATCTGGGGTTTGGTGGGACCTAAACGGATCTTCGGGACTCTTGGAAATTATGGAGCCCTCAATTGGTTCTTCCTTGGAGGTGCACTGGGCCCAGTCTTAGTCTGGCTCTTGCACAAAGCATTCCCAAAGCAATCTTGGATCCCACTGATCAACCTTCCAGTCCTCCTAGGCGCAACAGCCATGATGCCACCAGCAACAGCACTGAACTACAATGCATGGATCATAGTAGGGACAATTTTCAACTTTTTTGTTTTCCGATACCGGAAACAATGGTGGCAGAGGTACAACTATATCCTTTCAGCAGCCCTAGATGCAGGGGTTGCTTTTATGGGGGTGCTAATATATTTCTCTTTAACAATGGAGAACAGAGATTTGAATTGGTGGGGTACTGATGGTGAACACTGTCCATTGGCTACCTGTCCAACAGCTAAGGGTGTCGTGGTTGAAGGATGTCCTGCATATTAGTAACATTTTACGCTGTCCATGTATACAGGTTTCAATTTAAGAAATTTAACAGTCTAGTTCCCTAAGTGGGTTGGATGTGGTGCTTGAAGAATCTCCTGCCTATTAATTCACACTTTATGGTGCACGCATATACAAGTTTCAATGTAAGAAGTTTAACAGTCCGGTTCCCAAAGAGGGTTCCATGTTTGATAAGTGGTTCTTTATATAAGATTGTACTTGTATACTGTTTTAGAAAAGGGTTATATGTATATGGGGGCTGGAATCTAATGTCCACATTTCCCCTTTTGCTCAACTTTGCAATTCTCTAACCATCCAAGTTTTCACATCATCCACATCACTGTTAGAACTTTAACAGCACAGCTTCCTGCTATCCAAATATTCAAAGCAAAAACACATCAATCATATATCTAAGATGATATTTTCGATTTAATCTTACGTCTGATTTCTGAACCATCTGATGATGTTGTTCAATCGTCTAAGTTGTAAATGTTGAAAATTATTGTGACAGACTGTTCAATAAGTGTCGTACCCCTTGGAATGATGACGCAACCACATAATATACATAGTCATATATATGCTCTGGCACAGTTCACCAGGCAACTAGATTCGAGAAACTGGTTTCGGATAAATGATCTTGACAAGTTAGGAATCTCACTTGGGCAGCATACTCGGTGGCTAGAAGGGGTGTGTCTAACTATGTGCCGCTCCCTCCCCCAATCTATTGATGGGTTAAGTGCTATTCCAATGTCCATCAATCTTGACAAGTGGCCAAACTAAGCCCTGCTTTGGGCCTTCTTACAATTGGAATAATGAAGTTTCCAATAGCTAGCTATCAATCACAAAACAGTGGGAAAAAGAGAAAGAAGCCTCCATTGGCTAGAATTATTCAGCTAGCAACATTGTGTGGACATAGCTATCGGGGCTTGGAGGTAAACATATGGTCAATTGAAAACAAGAAAGCCCCTTAATTAAATGGCTCCACCCCAACAAATAAATAGATGGATGCAACCATGATGAGATTGCTTTCATTTAAGCGTCATGGGTGTTCCAGGCCAGTCTTTGTTCCTTCCCTTCTTTTCCTTCTATAATGAATCTTAATTTGTGAGAAAAAATAAAGGTGATGAAAAAGCCTCCAAGAAAATTTGATAACAAGAGCCCTCTTATTGATAGACATCTAGATCGTTATGTAAGTTTAGAGAACTAAATACTTTGTTAACAAAATTCAGGTAAGATTGCCATGAAGACAAAATGCGATCTTGGAATCATCACAAATTCACGATTCAATATTTGCAGTGAATAATAAAAATAGGAGATCAACAAAATTTTCTGAATAGAGGCATCGGAGGAAAAAGCTTAAAAAAATAATAATAATAATAGACAAAAAGGGTAAATGGCTGAAACCTCTTTGATGTTTTTGGCTGTTGCTGAAACCTCCTTTGAATCGTTTTTTTCTTTTTTTTTTTTTTTTTAGAAATCAGTCTCAGTAGTAACTGCATGGGTATTTTGAACATTTTTATGGCTTTATTAGAGGATTTTAATAGAGGGAATCTACTTGCAACTATATCAAAAAATTCAGGGGAAGTGATTACAATTACCAAACTTCAGGGGAGGTTTCAGCAATGCTCATAAACTTCAGGGGAGAAGAGGTTCTATTAATTTACCCAACAACCAAAAAAAAAGAACAAACTATATACCGATCCACGATGGTCTCAACCAAGTCATGGAGCTCTCTCAAGAGTCAGAAATCTAAAACACTACCATATTATTATCCTATCTAACGTGCGTGAAGGATAATCCATTTAAGCTAGAGTGATATTGAAAAACATAAAGAAATTACTAGATCACAATACAGATCAATGAAGAAAGTGTTACAAACGATGCTCAAATAATCATTAGGAGACTCAGACTGTTATCTTCATTACACGCTTATGTTATCAAAGGCATATAGATTGGAGACGCAATTCACTAAGTCTTTTGTTAAGTTCTTTAACGTAGTTCCATCCTCAAAGACCTCCAATTTCATTGTTTACTAAATTTCCAACTTGCCCCTGTTTCAAGAAGATAAAGAAGCAATGGTATCAAAACCACAGAAATTACTTCTACTTGGAGACTCGGTCTCTGCAAGATTATTATAGATCGAGGTAATTACACTTTTCAATGTGGATATAAAATGCATGTTGTTTCTCTGGATAATCTTCTGGTTGATGAATTTCGGCCAGCGCAGATTTAATATGATGAAACATTATATTATCCTAACTGTAACATTGGGTTTGGTTTGAAGGAAAAAGTAGGAAAAGGTAAGAAAACCTTTCAAACCTTGATTTCTCTGCATTTTCCTTCTTTTCCCTACTTATTCCTTCAAAGTTCAAACCAAACATAACCTAAGTGACAGGAACCAAATGAACCAACTACATTCTAGTATTTAATTCTTTTCCAGCTTTGCCTGGTTCCAACCGGTGAAAGAAAGGGGAAAGAATGAAGTAAGTAAGCTAACCGGCATAAGTTGTGAACTTGTGATAAGCTGATAGCATCAGCTCAAATCCTTTCTCTCCATGGAGATCGAGAAGGTAATACGTCTCCAAACCCTCGAATGCAAATGCGCAAGCCTAACAAAGAAAAATGAAGTCAGTTAAGCAGAATTTGACGGAAAAGGGAAAATAAAGGAGAAAGGCAATTGTCACAAATTGGATAAGAAGGTATGAAACCTGAGAATCTCAACGGGGCATAGTAGAGACGAAAGAATAGAGGTGCAAAAGCATCAGAGAAAGACGGAATGGTCGTTCAGCACGAGCTCGAAAAATCTCTGGAGAGAGCGTTATCGAAACCTTGTGAATTCCACAATTACTCTTGAAGGAAGTGCCCCATTCTTCGCGATCTGTAAACTGTAATAATAAGTTAATAACTGATAAATACAACAACTGAATCGAGAGACCAACTCCAGGACTCCGTTCGTTGTAAGCGGCGGGAACGCACTTCTCTCACTTTCGTAAATCGCGGCACGCGGCAAAAAAGGCAAGTAACTCGGCACTTAACACAGCGTACCAAGGGTATAAACGCCAAAGGGAAGGGACCAGTAGGCCCGAGCTCCCTACAAGGAACCCGAACTCCCTAGCAAGAGGCCCGAGCTCCCTACTTAGTGGTCAAACTCCCTACAAGGAACTCGAACTCCCTAGCAAGGGGCCCGAGCTCC